AAGAAGAGAGAGAAAGCGAGAAATCGGACTGAATGAAATGGGTCATGATTCTTCGTTGCATTGAGTTGAACGTTGAGCACATGATAATCCGGTACACCCCCATAGCTAAATGGAATAAAACATAGATAAAAGACACGGGCAAAGATACAGGCTGAAGAGGCTGGAGACAATATGCGCCGGAGCCAAAAGCAGAAACAGGAAGAACAGCTAAAACGGAAAAAACAAGCTAGCTGTCGTTGGGACGTAGTGGAATGAAAATGAAAAACGGGCCTCCTTACTATTTCAGGAGCATTCAAAGGATAAAACAGACATCCTCGCCGAACTTCACTTCGAATGGGTCTAGGAACAAATAACCACCCAGTGTAAATATAGAGGAATGTAAAAGAACTTCCAAACCCTGAGAGGAGCGGATACACAACCTTGGGAGGTACCGAGTCCAATCAATTTTTGATGGATCACTCATCACTCAGAAACCTTCCTCGCCGGCCTTGCACAGCTTGATCTGGCGGACCCATTCTGATTTGAGGACCTGTGAGGCATTGATGCGGCGGGAAGGGTTAGGGTCGAGAATGGAGTAGATCACGTTACGGCAACGAGCCTGAGATTTCATGAGTTTTGGCACGGCCTGGTCAGGGGGATTAGTTCTTACTCGATGCAACGTCTCAATAGGAGCGTATCCATCCTCGTGTTTACGGCCGTCGAGGTAGCGCTGGTAGAATTCATCTTCTTCCTTACGCGCTACACGCCAGAGGTGGCGACCTGTTCGCATGGCCATGTAGATAACACCTGTAGCCCAGAGATCAACTGCTCGAGGGTCGAATTCCCGCTCAACGTATTCTTCGGGGGCGATGTAAGGTGCTGACCCGCAGAGTCCGGCTGTCATGTGGGCTTCCTTTTCCCAAGCCATGCGGAAGCATTCGCCGTTGCCGAAATCGGTGATCTTGAGGGCACCGTGAGTGGTTAAGAGCAGATTTTCCGGTTTGAGATCACGGTGTGCGACACCCATCTCATGCATATATTCCACACCTCGCATCAACTGCTTAAAGAAGCAGTCTGCTTCGGCAACTTCGAGCTTGCCGGCAGCAAGGACCAAAGTGTAGAGGTCCCCACCGGCGCAGTATTCCATGACTTCACAGTAATCGCCCTTGGCGTCTTGTAGGAGGTCCAAGGTGTGAATGACGTTAGGGTGACGAAGCGACGATGAGATGCAGAATTCAGAAGTGAGTCGCTTTTGGTATTTCTTGGTGGTTTCCTGTGGCCGACGGCGGAACTCTTTCACCGCGTAGAGCTGTTCCATCTTGGAATCTTGAGGATCGACCTTGTGCGAGATGCGAACGATACCGAACGCACCACGACCGACAATCTCCTGACACTTGCCGTACTTGTCGACCAACGAAGCAGTGGCGTTTGGACCACCCTTCTTATCAGCTGCCAGCTTATCACGCTCGGTCTTGAACTGGTCAATCCAGGTCGACATGAGCGACAGCTGCTGCTCATCCACCTGGTCGTCCTTTTTCCGGCCACCCAGCATATCGCGCAGGAGGTCAGTCAACTTCTCTTGCCGCCTGGCACTGCGGAGATGATGTGAATGGTTGCCGAGGTGTTCAGGCAAGACCTCGAACCGCTTGTGAGCGGGAGCAACTCCCTCTTTTGACTTCTTGTCGTCGGTCTTCTTCTTATCAGAATGCGCCACAGGTTCGCTCTTGAGCGATGGGTTCCGGGATGGGGTTCGGGAGTTTGCACCTCGTGAAGGAGGTCTAGAAGGAGGTCGGGAGTTTGGTTGGGAGGGAGGTTTCGAAGACGGCTTCTCTTTGCCGTTGGCTGGGTGAATGCTTTCTAAGCTGCTGTCGGATAGATCCCGGTGCACATCGTGCTCGCGGGTAGGAGTGGATTTCCCCGTGCCGGAGAACATGCGAGTCAGGCGAGAGGCCATGGTTGCTTTGGTCGGTTTGCCGGGGGAGAGAGCCGGCGAGGGGAGAACATCCCCGTTCGGATGGGCGGACAGGTTCATGCCCGCGAAGGCGCGTGTTACCGAAGGGTCACCATCCCGAGGGTCCTGCGAATGTTGTGAAGCTGCGGCGGAGGAGACTGCGGAAGGCACAGGTGAAGGAGAAGGCGGAGTCATGTGCGGTGGATCAAGAGGTGTTGGAGAGGTGAAATTACAAAATTCCACGTCGTCCCCAAGAAGACGTGAGGGTAGGAAAGTAAGGATATATGAGGAAGAGCAAAACTGCGAAAGTGCGAAAGTGCGAGAGTGCGCCACTGAACCAGCAAAAGGGCCCGAGGCAAGACTGACTCAAACAAAGAGATGAGAACGACTCCGCGCAGCCAGGCAAGCCCCAGGTATATGAGAGAAAAAAAAGAGAAGTGGGATAATTTTGAGATGAAATACCAGAGTGTATGTGTAATTACAGGGCCGAGGGAACGTACATGGGTGTGGGATCTTATTAATGCTCGCTCAGCATGGCAAAACCTGCAGCCTCCAGGGCTGCAGCCTGTGAGACGTACATTATTCCTATTCTATTTTATTTCTATTCTATTCATTTTACAAATGTATTCATTCTATTCTATTCTATTCAATATTTGATTAATAAATTTTATTCTACTATTTTGCTGAAATTAATTACAAATGCAAAGTGGCGCAGGTCCAAGGTAGTATTAGTATGGGGTTACGGGCTAAATGATACTTCGCAAGTGGTGACAAGATTTAATGAAACGGTACATACTCGGTACATGTTTTTTTCGGAAAGAGCTGGATTTCCTGACCCGATGACGTTCCGTACGTGACGTCGCTTCTGTATATCCCAATCCGCCACTGGAGGCTGTGCACTTCACTTCACTTCTCTTATAACTTATGATTCGAGCGCCCCCGCTTCCATTCGCGCTGGAGGGCCGTGTGGCGGTTCTCTATGGAGAGGGGTACAGATTCTGTTGAGCTATTAGCCGCATACGATTCCCAGACGTGCTTCATTACCGTGTACGGTAGGTGGGGGATAGGTATGGGTCTACAGGAAATGGAGATTCAATCTGGGGTGGCCTTACATTTCCTCCGAGTATACAGAGTACAGAGTACTCTGACTCTGTACAGCATCCTGGAGAGTACAATCCTGAACTGGAAACCTTCCCATTGTCACCTGCCGCTTATATCCGTGCTCACGTCTTATTGGAACATTCTCATTGGCATTGCCCTTTCTAGACACCATTTCCTATTCACTGCTTCTATTACCGGACGATCCCCGCTACGTAACAGTCATCCTGCACATCCCCCTATTGGGGTCGTGGAGACAGTTAAGGAGCTTCTACTAGCGTCATTCACGTAGATGAAAGTTTGAATGTTAAGACCGGACAGATGGACAGGCAGATGACAGAGGAGAGACTAGCCTATCTCTGCACTTGATTCGCATATATCTTCACCGTCTCTTCGGGTCGAATTAATTTCCTGTGGGGGCACGGTGCAGTCTTTGGTTTCGTATAGTACAGAGTACCTACTAACTAGGCAACTAACTTACAATTACCCCGGGTTTCTCAAAGCCAATGTTATATTGACCTCGGCTCAAGATACAATACTTACAGTAATACCACATGCAGCTGGAGTCCACTTTCCCACACAAGCTTCCGTTACCACTACGAGGGATTTTCATGGTCCAATCAGATAGCTAGCCGTAATCCTCTTAATTTCCGGTAGACCTGCAATTCATCTACAACAAGTACACAGTAGCTATTCGCTCTGAAGTATACTCCGTACCCCTCGAACTGTATCCTCTATAGTACAGCAGTACGCTACTACAGTATAGGACATTATATCACCCCGATGTACACTGTACAACCCCCTCCCGCACCTAACCCACACAGATGATTCTTAGGTAGCACATATTACAGTAGTATGTAGATCACATAAAGCCATCAACCAGCCCAAATCTAAATCCCATCCAATCTAAATTGCAATCCAATCCCGACTTCAACCGTGCTTGACCGCCAGTTCGCCTGCAGCTTGCATCTGGGACAACTCATACGCCAGGGATGGGGGATTGGTGGGGTTGGAACTGCGGTGCAGGAGGGTTATCTCTGCTTGGAACTCTGGCTTCTGCTTTCTTACCTGGTAGACTGGAACTGGAAGGCAGGATTGCATATTATTGCCAGGTAGATATGGTCTGAGCTTTAGATAAGCTGTGGTCTGGTCTTGTTTTTGTTAATGGACTTGCTTGGACTTTTCCTAGCTAGGAAGGTAGCTGGTCATTGTATAGGTAAGTTACAATGTACTCCGTACATGTAAGAGCTAACATTGCCCGAAGCTGACGGGAAGCTGAGGAGCTGAAGAGGAGCTGGCTGTGGCTATAATGCGGCTTGCATGACTAGTTTTGTTTCTGTAGCATGTCTACTACCTTATACGCCATCCATCCAATAGCAATCACCAGTGTCAGCTCTAGCATATGATCCATCATCCAATTCCTACTTTCAATTCTCACACCCTCTCCCATCCAGAGCACTCAACCTATCGGTTCGTCGGGTCACTGCACACAGATTACTGCACAGATTACTGCATGTACATGTACAACGGAAAATGCACGCCCATGCGCTCTGCACAAGCCACGCTGGCCGAATTTGGAAATGGGCTTCTTGGCAGCATAGCTTGGCTATTATACCTCGGGTAAGAGGGTGGTCTGGGCTCTAGCTTCAGCCTCCAGCTTTCAGCTACCAATCCGCTGGTTCTGGGCTCGGGTTGGCTTGTTCTGTTATCTACAACCCTGGAGGAAGACAGCGGGAATTATGGCTAGAGGCAATTGCACGTGGAGACCAGGATGGAAGTTGATATCGGGATTTGATCGCGGTAGTGCGACAATTGGCTCGTATTGCGTTATACCAGGGATTGTTCATCCCGAGTCATCCCGCACTGGATCCTGGGATTCTGATTGATAGATACGCACAGGGACTCTGAAACAGACACGGAGGTTAACGTTATTTGGTTTGTTCATTGTTCCTGGTTGAAATAACCGGATGAGCTATTGCGGGCCGGTCCCCGGTGCCCTGGTGGACCCGACAGTGGCGCCGATTTTCCCACGTGGGGAGAGAGCTCGTCTCATTGAGTGTTGCCAGCCATCTGAAAAGGCGGTATGGATGCTACCCTGTTGCACTTGGCTTTGATCACCAGATTGTATGTGGTGCTCGACAGGTGTCTGTGAAAGATGGCGAGACCGTTGCGGTGTGCCCTTAATTGCAGATATGCCATCTTTGTAGCCTGGAAGGATCCCGGGTGTGTGTCCATGCCGGTGCTGGCTCGTATGTCCCAGCGGTGAGAGTTACCACCTCTTCTCTTTCCTTTTTCTCTCTCTATCTCTCTCCCGGCCTCTCATGGACTTGATCTCATGGACTATGCAGCGACCTCACAGCCTCAGTCTCGAACACGGAATCGGATCGTAGCTTGCGGTTCGACATCATGACAAAACTCGAGTCTGCTGCCATATCAGAAAACATGTCAACAACTATGGCAACATGCCAAACAAAATGATACGTACCACGAACTGCTCCAATGATTCCTCGAAAAGCTCATTGTTGACACCTACACCGCCAGGATGCTCGGTCGGAGAGAGGGGGTTCTTGACCACTAACAGACAAAAGAATAAGCCCATATCCCATCGGCAGATTCTCGCATACGAACCATATTCCACAAAGAGATTGATATAAATCTGCTGCAGTGCGATGCGCATACTGGGACTCTTCAGGTCAGTCAGCATGACGAACTTGGTATTCGTCGGCGTCTCGTAGTAGTGCAGCTTGTACTGGCTAGTGGTGAACGACACAAAACTAAGCAATGCACCTTGTGTCAGCCGGGTTTATCCAAAGTACCAGCTGTCCGGTCTGGTCTGCTGGCTGATCTCAGGGGTCTCACTTGTCATCGTCTCCGCCTAGCTTGCGCACCATATTCCGCAGTGAAAAGACCGTTCCGAATACCAGCTTCGAGTCATCGTCTGTTGATCGTACTGTTTGGCCGAGGCCGGTCGGTGCTTGTCCGGAGGTAGTGTCAGACCGGGATTTCCCCACGGTGGAGGTTGGGCGCGGTAGCCACCGGCGTTTGTAGATGCATTCGGCTGGAAGAATCATTAGCTGAGTTATTGCAGTGGAGGTAGTATGTATTTACCGTGGCGATCGAAGATGTAGAACGAGTAGACGACCATGGTGTAGCTTGGCTGTCTCAAGTGTTGATTGATGTTCAGGGGAGTAGCTGGCTGGGGCGGTGAAAGTCGTCCCCGACAACATATCAGAAAAGGAGCTGCCTAGAAATCTACGCTCATTCGTCCTTTTCTTTTCTTTGTATTTTTATTTATAAATTCTGCTGAACTCCGTACTTCTGGGCTCGTAAGGCTGACCACCCGCATCTCACGTTATCAAAACCCCCGCTCCAACGTCGTTTTTACCCCACACCTTCAACGTCTGCACCTACAGTACTTACTGTACTTCAATGGATGAGAATGTGGAAATCCCAGTCTCGGATGTCTCTGCAGAGCCCTCCTTCGACTCCTTAGACAGCAATGCAAGACCGGGACCTAGCAGAGTTGCGTGAGTATCCTGCAAAACCGGAGACTGTCTCGCCTAATATGATATATCATACTGACGCATGCATCTAGCTCTGCTGCATCATATGATAGTCCGCAGAGACATCGCCGTCGAAATCCAAGAGCTAGGCGTCCGGTGAAGGTCGGTTTCTCGATACTGTGATAGACTCGGAGAACTGATACCGGGAGATAGGAAACACTGGACGCCCGCTCCGCGTATACTACAAGTCAGGATGATGGAACGGCCGAGCACCGTATCAACCAATATGTGATCAAGCAGGAGATCGGGCGTGGGTCATTCGGCGCGGTCCATCTGGCTGCCGACCAGTTTGGGAATGAATATGTATGAGCTCTTGCACACTGGTAAACCTGGGGGTGAAACCGTGCTAACTGTCAGACGGTGATTTGAAAATTCAGGCTGTTAAAGAGTTCTCCAAGTCCCGTTTAAGAAAACGTGCACAGTCGCATTTACTGCGAAGACCCAGAGGCCCGAGGAGACCAGGCACGGGATTTAACTCGCCGTTACATCGTCATCCTGCTGGGGATGATGATGAGACTGCCAAGAATTCTCTGTATTTGATCAAGGAGGAGATTGCGATCATGAAGAAGCTCAACCATAATAACCTGGTGTCCTTGATCGAGGTACTGGATGACCCGACTGAGGACTCGTTATATATGGTGATGGAAATGTGCAAGAAGGGCGTGATCATGAAGGTTGGACTAGAAGAGAGGGCGGATCCATATGACGACGAGCACTGTCGGTGCTGGTTCCGCGATCTGATCCTGGGAATTGAGTATCTTCATGCTCAGGGCATCGTCCACCGAGACATCAAGCCGGACAATTGCCTGTTGACCAATGACGATGTGCTGAAAGTAGTCGACTTTGGTGTATCGGAGATGTTTGAAAAGGACTCTGATATGTTCACAGCCAAGTCTGCTGGTTCTCCAGCGTTTCTGCCGCCAGAGCTGTGTGTTGTCAAGCACGGTGATGTCTCCGGGAAAGCAACGGATATCTGGTCCATGGGAGTGACTCTATATTGTCTTCGATATGGCAAGCTGCCGTTCGAGAAACAGAGTATCTTCGAACTGTATGATAGCATCAGAGGGGATTCCCCTGTATGCGAAGACGAGGCGGACGAAAAATTCAAGGATTTGATGGGACGAATCCTGGAGAAAGATCCGGAGAAACGGATCGATATGTTTGGCTTACGGGTGAGTGACTTGAGTCGTACATTATTTGCCAATGCTGACCAGATGTACAGGAACACCCTTGGGTAACGAAGGATGGGACGGATCCTTTGCTGTCGTTTGAGGAGAATACCTCACTGATCATTGCACCTCCGACGGAGGAGGAGATGAACTCGGCCATTACAACTAATATGGGTAGCCTCATGACTGTGGTAAGTGATTTGATCCGTGCATCCTGAACGTCGTTAACAAGACCCAGATGAAAGCAGTCAAGAAATTCAAACGATTCATGGATCCTACCAAACCGCAAACTCCCATGCAGAGCATTCTTGGCGGAGACCACGAAGCTTATTTCGTCGAACCGCCAATGGAGATGGACCCAGATGAGCCCTTCCCAACTGTAGGAGGAGAACCACAAGCTCACGGCTACGGTCTAAGTGCTGGTATAAGAAAGGTCTTTGGACGACACCCTTTCGCAGGGTTCCGCGAAGATTCAGGTACCATAGGGTCGAGCGACTCAGCCAGCCTCTCATCAAGACCAGACCATAGCCCAAGCAGCAGCCAAAGACCAAGCGGAGTCTTCGAACCCGAGCGAAAAGACTCTAGCTCCCGCACCGGTCGATCTCCAGGCCAAGCAGACACTCAAGAAGCAGCCTACTCCCAATCAGCATCTCCTCACATCCCCTCTCGCGCCAGCTCAGCAACAACAAAGCGCAGTCTAGAAGGAACAAGAGGGCACGCACGAGACCCCCTAGAAGAAGAATTCCCATACCTCTTCATCGGACCATCAACATACACGGGAACCTCGCACACAGAACCAAGCACCGACCCCATAACAGCAGCTTCGGAAGCACCGATCTTCGAAGAACCAGAAAGCACCCTGGAACCCACCAGCGAGATGGAAACAGAAGAAGAACCAGTCCAAATCGTCAGCGAATCACCCGGCGCAGCAGACTTCAATATTTACGAAACTGCGTATAGAATGGAACTTGATCGCATCAAACACAGTCTCTCTGAATCAGACCGTGGCAACCGCCAAGCCGGACCAAAGGTCTACCTAACCCGTCGCGTCGAGAATAAAGAGGAGGTCATGCGCTTGGCCAAAGAGAAGGCGCTTGATTTGCAGATTGGGCAGCGGTTCGCGTATTCGCCTGCTAAGTCTGCGCCGTCAGCGTTTAGTTCTGTTGCTGGTGCGTTGCGCGCGCAGATGCAGAAGAAGAGGGCTGGTGGGGAGGGCGAGGGCGGTGATGGGAATGGGGGTGGTGATGGCGAGGAGCAGGGTTCTCAGGGTAGTCAGACTGTTCCTCATCCTCACCCTGCCAAGCGTCTTTCACTTTCTTCACAGGCTGTTCCTGATACTGAGGCTTCTTCGCTTGAGGCGACGGGTGTGTCTGCTAAGGACGGGACGGAGAATTCCAAGACTCAGCTGCGGCGGCTTCTTGGTCGGGTGAGGGGGAAGGCTGATGGTGCGGAATGATGGGTTGGAATGCTGGGGTTGTAAGGGATTATAGTATATGTTGGCATTGTAGGGATATATTCAACTTGATCGAGGACAAGAACGGTTCCCGGCTCTAGTCCGCTTTATATTCTCACATTCTGAGTTTCTCGTCAGCTGCACATCTTTCTTGTTTGGGCATTTGAGTTACGGGGAGCAAACCAGTTTTCGGCCTTTTGTTCTGATTGGCCGTGCTCTACATCTATCCTATTAAACAGGGAGGTTTCTTCGTACTCGGGCTGAGGGTTACACAAATGGAGTCACTAAAGCGAAGTCTAGCCTAGAGACTGATGGATTATCATCCATGTAAGAAGGAACAAGAAAAACCATGAAAGATAGAAGATAAATATGAATTAACAGCCTCAGAATGGAAGATATTATCCAAGGAGTCAATAAATAAGTCAAAGTCAAGATTGAATAGAAACAAAAAGCAAGAATCAGTAACCACAAACGGAAACCAAAATCAAGATAAGAATCAGATCAAAAGTATAACAAGGTCAAATAAAATAATACACAGTAAACAGGCCTGAAATGAGAATCATATCACATCGTACGACCCAAGGTTCAGAGGACCACCATCGTCATGTTGTAGCAAGAGCAAGAGCAAGAGACATCTGCGTCGTTATATGCATAGCACGCTAGACTCGACACTGGGTGGTAAAGAAATGTAGATAAATAAGGACCAGAAGCAGCAGCAAGAGCAGAAGCAAAAGCAGAAGCAGAATGTCAAGAAAAGGCAGAGGAAGTATAACAGCGAATAAGAAATAGACAATAAAAAGAAAGATGCGAGGCATATAAGGCATCAGTTGGCATAAATGACTTGTCTTTGATCATGGGCTTCACATAACATAATCAAGTCACAGTTCGCATTCGAAAGGTGACATTGAAACTGAATTGAAATTGAAATTGCCCGAGAGACGACTGGAAGCAGCAAAAAGGACAGGCTTGCTTGGGCGCAGAATTGCAAACGTTCAATCATGAGAACGAAATATCAAGGGTCGAAAAAGCAAATAGCCGTTATCTTCATTGAACATGGGGAACATAGACGCATCAATCTTTTTATGAAGGTCACTGTTGTAAGAGGGTATTTCCCGTCCTGGTGCCTATACCTATACCCTATACATCTTGGTGCGTAGGTAGGAAGACAAGGTAAATCAAAATGGGGAGACATCGTAATTTGTCGAGAGGAGACGTTGTCGAGTAGGGGTGTAATTGTTGGAGAAGGGTAAGAGCAGGGTGATGTAGCTTGAAGAGGAAGAGCAGAAGAGCAGAAGAGCAAAGAACCACACAATAAACGCAACACAAACGCTGTCTATTGTCATCAATGGGTGCTAGATCATTCATTCATGGCGGTTGGCAGCAAAGCAAAAGATCAACGTCAAAGTCAAAAGCGAACAATGCTGGGAGTGCAGTCGAAGGCGAAAGAAAATGACAGTATAAAAGAAATTCAGATAACATATCATAGATAGGAATGAAAAATATCATCGTGGGGGTTTCTCCGCTGGCGTACCTATCCGTCCTTCCGGGTACGGTGGTTGATGTTGATCAGGCCGGCTAGTTACTGAGTCACGGCGGCCACTATCCGACGGGGAGTACCTATCATTGCTTGCGATGGAGCTGTAGGGCCGTTCGGCTGGGTTGCTGAGTCTGGGGAAAGCATCTGGAGGACCTAGTTGGAGGATGCGTGGTGCTGGGAGGTGATGACCCATTTCTGTTGGTCGGGGCAGCTCGCGCATGTTGGGACCGGGACCGGCGACAGCAGCAGGACTAGGACCAGGCATACTTCGACTTGGAAAATCGCGTCTTTCGTCATTTATCGATGGGCCTGGTGGGACTGTTGAGCGCATTGCGGACGCTTCGTACATCATTGGACTTGGCACGTGGCCAATACTATGGCTGTGGCTACGGCCATGAGCTTGGATGTGACCTTGTTTTGGTCCAAAAGCCTGAGGCGCGATCGATTGCGGAAACGGGGTAGAAGGGCCAGCCGCCGGGCTGGTGGGCGAAGGAGTGATCTTGAGTCTGGCTGAATTCGAACGACGGGGTGGAGGGTAGGTTTCACCGCGGGCTTCTGCTGCAAGTTTACGCCGTTCTGTTTCTGCTTTGCTCGGGCGACCTCTTTTGCGAGGTGGTTCGCCGGTGCCCGGGTCCAGTGTTGGGGAGAGCTGGGCCGAGGCACCGCTTTCGCTGCTATAGGACGCGGTGCTGGCCGGTGGTCTGGGCTGGATTGCGCGCGGTAATGGCTTGTCGGATGGGTACAATGGCCGCTTGCGCATGGGGTCTGGTGCTGGCGGACCGGTCATATCGGAGCGTGGAAACGGCGCTGGATGTTTTGGAGGGTGGATGGCCTGTTGACACATATTGAGAAAGGCTGTCTTGCACGCGCTGAGAGAACGACCTTGACCAAAATGTCGTGTTAGCCTTGATATCGATCTGCAAAGCCCTTTTCGGCGCATGGATGATACCTTGTGGGAGGGGGATATGCTCCCAGTTTGGAGTGACGTTGAAGTCTTTAATCAAGTTGATTAAATGACTTGAAGGCATTTCGGCTTTTTTGAGGATCTCCGTGAGTAGGGTGTACTAGGTTCAATATCAGCGCATTGTTCACCCGTGAAGAAGCCATTCCCGCTTACCTTGTCCTCCTCAGTCCATGGCCTATCAGATGAATTCGACATGTCCAGACCATGGAAGCGGATAATAGCCAGCTTCCCCTTTCCCCCAAGACAAAAGTCAAAAGCAAAGAAAGCCTCCCAGACTATCTCGAGAAAAAGAGAGCGACAGTTGTAATATCCCAATTCTTCATGGGAAAGGGAAAAAAAAGAAAAAAAGAAAACAGAAAACCAATCCAAACACGCGACAGAACGAGAGAGGGCCTCTTATGTCCCCATCTAGACGAAACTAAAGGGACAGGGAAAACGAGCAATTGAAGGCTTCCTAGCCAAAGAAAAAAAGCGCAGAACAAACCTCCATCAATCCCCTTTCTTGCGACGCTTTGGCCAAACGGACTTGAGCAGCCGGGATCGCGCAGGAGACGTTCGGGAAGGAAAGCTGCAGGGACGATGCTTTGAGGTGTATTACACGTATAATGTATCAGACCCGTACAGGCGGTTCAGCCGGGCCAGTTTCATCTTTTCCAGAAGAGGTTCGAAGGCAAAATTACCACTAGGGGAGCGGGGAGCCTGGAATTGTTCTCAAAAGTACGATCGAGGGGTTGAGTGGGGGGAGTAGAACAGTTGAGATGCAGATGCAGATGCATCTTAGCCTCAGGAGGCATCTGTGGTTCGGAAACGGTTGGCCCTGGCAGTTCCAGAGCCAAGGGACAGCTGGCGGGCGGTTTTTTCTTTTGTTTTTAGTGGCCCTGGATTGATGTTTCGACGATTTTGTTGGTAAAACTGTAGTGTCGTGGAGCCCGGGGAGAATTGTGATAGGACAGCAATGGCCCGGGACGTTGGGTCATCCTGCGAGAAAAATGATTTTGTTTGAAGCTAGGCCCAGGGGCGGTTAGGGTGGTCGATCGTAAACAAAAGCGCGTCAAGAGGAAGTGGAGAGGTAAATACAGTAACGGGAAAGGGGGTGACTTTTGATATCCGCAACCATGGATCAGGATTTCTTATTTCCACATGGCAGTCACGGGACTCAGTATGTCTACAGTAGATATACTAGACCTGCCCAGGTGGTTACAATTGAGGAGTATTCTACACGGAGTAAACAGAGTATACAGTAGTATGCACGCACAGACTCTGCAGACGCGCTTTTGACTGAACGCTCCCACCCAATCGATTCCCGCTCTTGCCATAAACCTACTGTACTTGCAGTCCTGGACCTATGGACCTATGGACCTGTCTTGCAGAGTCTGGCATTCATGTAGCAGAGCTGGCACTGCCCCTGCTCTTATCTCTGGTCTTCCCCTTTTCCTGTGTACGGACTAGATCGCTGACAGCCAAAGGGACTGAACTGTGACTCCGATGCCATTCCGGAATATCCTTCAAAATCGTATCCACGTTCATTCTCCATGCTCAGGTGGCCCGTCATAGATCTTATTTGGAGTGGAGATAATCTCCCAAGTGCAATGTGCGAGCATCGTGGAGTCCACCGATCCAATATAATGCTAGGAACACGGGCCTGGATAAACCGAGGGCGGTGAGAGTGAATGACACGCGAAATAACAATAGCTTCGAAAGCAATTCAGATCTTCTCTTTACCGCTTTGGACCCCTTGATTCCTCGGCCTCTTGGCAGAATTCGTATTCTGCTCTTCTCTCATTTAGGCTTAATCAATTCTTTCGTCCGTGTCGTCATGTCTGCCCATGACAACGCGGACTCCCAGGCAGTTAAGATGGAGAAGAATGGCGACTCGCGCACTTCCTCCCGATCTCCTCTCCGATCTCCTCTCCCGAAAAAAGAGTCCCCCGGCTCCCAATCCGATGCCTCCGACATGAAGGAAGAAAAGCTGGATGAGATGCACCTCAAGCAGGAGCCCGGTCAACGGCCCAGGCTATCCCGAAGCTCGTCGCAGAAGGTGTCGCGGCCGCCTCCGCTGTACACTCACCTGCCGGATAGCACGCAGGATGCGCTTGCCACGTTTGAACAGATTAATGGCTGTGCCTACGCCAACAAGTACATGGGCTACACTGAGCATGCGATGGAATGTGATTGCGCTGAGGAGTGGGGTAAGTGATGGCGAGTCTTGGTGTCTCCAAGCGAGCCCGCCCTACTGGAAACGAGCTGATCGCTGACGGGACAGCAGAGCCCAAGATTGGCCAGAATCTAGCATGTGGCGAAGATTCGGATTGTATCAACCGCGCGACCAAAATCGAATGTGTCGGGGACTGCGGCTGCGGCTCGGACTGTCGGAACCAGCGTTTCCAGAAACGACAATTTGCACAGGTGTCTGTAATCAAAACCGAAAAGAAGGGATTCGGCCTACGCGCGGAAACGAATTTGGATCCACACCAGTTGATCTACGAATATGTGGGCGAGGTTGTGGGGGAGCAGCAGTTTCGGCGGCGGATGAGACAATACGATGAGGAGGGCATCAAGCACTTTTACTTTATGTCCTTGAACAAGGGCGAGTTTGTCGATGCAACCAAGCGAGGAAACTTGGGACGGTTCTGCAATCACTCGTGCAACCCCAACTGCTATGTGGATAAGTGGGTGGTGGGTGAGAAGTTGCGCATGGGTATTTTTGCGGAACGAGCTATCCAAGCCGGCGAAGAATTGGTCTTCAACTACAATGTGGACCGGTACGGTGCTGATCCCCAGCCCTGCTATTGTGGAGAGCCCATGTGCACGGGTTTCATCGGTGGACGCACCCAGACGGAACGTGCGACCAAGCTGTCCAATGCCACGATTGAGGCTCTCGGCATTGACGAAGCCGATGGCTGGGATACGGTGGTCGCCAAGCGCCCCAAGAAGAAGAAGCTCGAGGAAGATGACGAGGAGTACGTGGACAGCGTGCAGCCCAAGTCGTTGGACGAGGACGGTGTCACCAAGGTCATGGCAGCTCTTGTGCAGTGTCAGGAGAAGTGGATTGCAGTCAAGTTGCTTGGTCGTGTACAGCGCTGCGAGGATGAGCGTGTTCGCAACCGTGTTATCCGAATGCACGGATATCAGATTTTGAACTCCCAGCTGGCCATGTGGAAGGATGATCAGAATGTCGTCTTGCAAATTATGAACATTCTGGATGGATTCCCTCGTCTCACTCGGAACAAGATTCAGGACTCCAAGATCGAGGCGAACATCAAGCCTTTGACTACGTGTGATGATGAGCGCGTGGCAAAAAAGGCCGTCGCCTTGCTCGAGAGCTGGGCTGGTCTGGAGGTTGCCTACCGCATTCCGCGCATGAAGCGTGGCAAGGATGCCACCAAGGCAATCAACAACCAGTTTGAACGCCGCGAGTCTGGGCGTGATCAGCCCAAACGATCTGTTACTCGTTCTCCTTCTCCCACATATGAAGCTCCTCCCCGCGGGCCAGCGCAGCAACGAAGGGACCGAGGTCAACAGCAGAACCAACATCGGCAGAGAGGAGGCCGACGTGGCCGCCAGCCATTGCCCGAGGGTTGGTTCGCTGCAGAGGATCAAGCTGGGCGGGTTTACTATTACACTGCTGGGAACCAAACCACCTGGGAAAGGCCGACTCTCCCTGCTACTACACCTGCGGGCCGCCTGCCTGTCAAGCAGAAGAACTTGGCGCTGCAGAACATTATCGATGGGATTGTGAATGCCCAGGACCGCACACCCTCTGAACATAAGAGCGCTACGCCGGCTACGCCTCAACCGAGCACTGAGCAACCGGAGAAGAAGAGCAAGGATGAGGAACGTTGGAAGAAATACCCACTCGAAAAGCAGAAGAGGATTTATGAGAACACAGTGGGTACAACCTCAAGCATTGGTATACAGCCATTAACGCAGCACAGCTATTCCCTCATATCAAGCATGTCGTCGACCACTACAAGCACAAGATCCCGAAAGATGATCTGAAGCGATTTGCCAAGGAGGTCAGTGCCCGGAATTCTTCGCCTGCCAACAGACTAATGCTAACCTCTTGTGATAGACCGCCAAGAAGCTTGTTGAGGGTGACTACAAGAAGAACCGTGTCGCAGATCCAACCAAGATCAGTGAGAAGCACCAACAAACAGTCAAGAGCTACTGCAAGTCCTTCTTCGACAAGGCAGCCGCCAAGTACAAGCAGCGCGAGAAGCGCAAGACGGAAAAGCCAAAGGGTAGTGCAGAGTCATCCGAGCCCCCCGAAGCAGACTTGAAGATGTCCGACGACGAGGCCGACGCTGCGCCTGGGACTTCTCCGTTGGACGATGCCGCTAGTGCCACCCTCAAGCGCAAGCGCAACGGTCATGGCGATGGAGACAGCGCCCAGGACGTGGACAGCTCTCCCTCCAAACGGCAAAAATCCACACCTCCACCTCCACCCCCGCCGCCTCCTCCGGCTGAAACACCAGAAGAAGATGGCGATGGCGATACCAGCATGGGGAATGCAGGCGATGACCCGTCTCCGCCTCCACCCCCTCCTCCAAAGGACAGTGCAGGCGGCTACGACGGCAATATGGAAACAGAAACAGAGGCCGAAATGCAGAACCAGAACCAGAGCTCACATCCACAGAGCATCGAGGGACAGGTCTAATCAACCTGCCTTCGACATTACCATGTCTTACTTGACTTGCCCAACATGTGCATTAATACCCAAAAGCGAGCGAAAGAGAGAGAAAGAATGAAACAGGGGAGACCAATATCTCGACAGCTTTTGCATGCTTATTTTCGCTTCTACAATGTTTTATTTCATACCTTTTACTTCCCCGCCTCTCTCTCTTTCGACTATTTGTCTTTTATTGCCGTCAATACCCCCGATGCGCCCATAATTTGCAATTCGCAACGCAATTCGCAGTCGCAGTCTGCGATTTGGCTGAGATGATCTTTATTTCTTTATATTTGTATTCTGTCTGTACATAACGTATGAATACGGATATGGATAGGGAGGGGAATTAGGTGTACCTATACACCTACACCTGCAACCTAGACCTATACCTAGGTATAGGTCTATGTCTGAGCATATGGATCTACCATGGGTTGTACCCAGTCTACAGTACAATTCTACAAGTGTAGCAGAGCCATACAACACCAGACCATCTCAATCATGATCATCATTGTCAACATCTAGATCTAATATTGCCACACATCCATCATATGCACAATCCATTCAAGTAGATGCAAGAAGCATCACAAACCCAAATGACCAATACAACAAACGGAGCGAGCAGAGCAGACCAGGAGGGGAAAAAAGAGTCATATCATATCAAATCAAATCAAAGCCCAGTCAAACCAGAACGACAAGCATGGAACATGGAACAAGGAAACAGAAAACAAGCACAGCATTGCACCAAGAGAATCAAATCCCAAACCAATTGCAACATCCATTACGGAGTGACAACCAATCTAATAGAAACTCTCCACAATACTATCCTTATTAACGGCACCAGCACCAGCGCCAGATCCACCAGGGCCCATCTCACCAAGTCGGAAGACAGACTCGATAACACTCAGCTCGGTGGCGGTGGTGTCGAGACCGGTAATGGCGAGCCAGTCGTTGACGACCATGCCGGCGCCGACGACGGGCGAGCCGCGGTTCACAGAGCCTGCCACGAGAGGAACCTGCAGAAGCGAGGAGAGCTCGTCCTGGTCGCGGATTGAGGTCTTGGGGTGGACAACTCCACCCTGGTTGGAAAGGGCCATGTATGAGCCGGTCAGGACGTTGTCGGCGACTGTTTGGCGGAATACTTCTACGCCGAGGACGTCGGCGATGCTGGGATGTGTTAGTTGGATATCTAAGGGCAGGGAATGGGTGGGAAAGACGCACATCTCTTCTGTCTCACGCTCCAGATCCGGGTGCACGATTGCGACGTGGTCGTTGCAGCAGATGACGTTGCCCAGTGCGGACAGGCGCTCTTCTATGCGTTGGATTTTGACTTCGTCCGGAAGCGTGTTGCGCAGGTGTTGCAGTTCTTGGTCTGTGGTTGTTGTGGGGACGAGGAGACCTTTGCGGTTACTATAGAGGATATATTAGTTGTTGCTCGGTGTATATGGGTGGCTACCGAGCCTCCGCGGGTGGTGAATTGTCGACTTACCCGACGGTCAGACGGCCGACAATGCGGGTTCCGGCGATGGTGGCGTGACAGACGGGGATGACATCTTGAAGTTCAGACTCGAAAATGCTGACTTGTGTGTAAGTTTGGAGTTCCTTTGGTTTTTGCGGGAATTGGACTAGGATGGAATGGGGATTCCGGGTTGAGATGGTGGTATAATATGGCTGACAGCTATGCCATAAACATAGCCAGAGCCACAGCCGATTCCAATCTCAACCGCAGTTTTCCAATCCTAGTCCCAATTCCATCCATCTCCCTGGGTAGGCACACCTGTAGAAGTTCTCCGAACCGCCAACCGCAACGATCGCATAAGAGTTGGTCAGGAGAGAGAAAACGCCGACCCTGTAATATCCGGTCAGAACCATGTTGTAGCCACATCTGTATATCAGACTCACTCGTTTGAGTTCTCGAATTGTGCGCGGACAGCCATCTTGGAGTATCAGAGTGGAAAGACCGGTATGAGGGAAAAAAGGTGGTGAGAGCGGGGTCGAGGGTCGAGGGTCGAGATTGAGGGGGAGGATCGAACAGAGAAACAGAAACTGCTTCACTACCAGAAGAGAAATGGACTAATGCTCGAATATCAGAAGAAGCCTGAGAGACAATAAATATTGCAGAGACGTGCGATCCAAACTGAAAAAGATCAAAAGCTCGGGCCAATCAGCTGCCGTGCTCGGTTTGCCCCGCCGGAGCCGCAGAGGCGAGTCAGAATGGTGGGCGGTGTGTACTGGTACTTAGTCCAGTATGGTGTATTGTATACTGGAACTTGTACCACTACTTATCTCCATTGACTCATTCTGTCTCATACTGATGATTCATTCTATTCGACTTCATGACACCAAATGAGTCTCTGATAGTCTGTCTATTTGCTCTGGGGCTGTGTAAAAGGCATTCTGCTCTAGTCGCATTTCTGTTATCTTTCTCTTATAGACATTCTACAAGTTGTGTCCGAACACGACCCAAAAGGATATACGGAGTATTGAAAATGAAAACCTAGAAGTACTGCATGTTTTGGAGTTATTACTTTACGTTATACCTAAACTCCTGGGTATGCACGTTAAGTTATACTATAAGTTACTGGCTCTAATACATGCTTCCTGTTGAAGAGGACTTAGCTAGACCAAGCTGTGTATGTATCTTCCGTGTATAGTCCAGTTTCTCGTAGAGTATCTGCTGTAGTATGATCAATGGTATTGGGGGTAGAGATAACCTCTTTTGGTAGATAGTTCAGTACACTTTTTCTCGTTTCCATGGACATCTTTACCTTTTCGTTGGTTTTGACCTCGTTTTCGTCTTTACTTGATATCCGTAATTCCTATCCTCCATCTCATATCATATCTCAACCTGTAAAACCACACTTTCTACCTTCCCTTCTTCCCCCAACTATATCTCCCCGGTCCCCACATCCGTCATAACAGACAAAGAGCTTCAGACCAACCGACCTGAAACTCTACATAATCAAGAGGGATTGAAAACACAAAGGTCATGTCCAAAGCGAGCTAGGGATAGCCTTCGGCTACACTGATCATCTGCAACAGAGAAGAACATTTCAGACAGGTGGACTCTGATTTTCTTGGTATCTTGACATCTCTCTCAAAGTGGGACAACATGTCATGTCCTTCTTGGTGGCTGAGGACCGGATTTTGTTCGTGGGTGGAATGGAATGATTTGTTGTAAGAGCTCTTTTCTTTTACCTTTACTTGGGGATTTTGCTTATATTGATCTTGTGCTGACTTTATTCGCTGTTACTAGATAGGTATATAGGTATAGGTACATTCATCACTCGCGATGATAAACTAGGATATAATCCAGGCACTTGCCCTGCCTGTGTATTTGTATGTGAAAGCGTTCTCCTTGCTATACTCGCTTTACACTACTCATCCAATTACTTTCTCGCTTATATCTGAGGTTATCAACACTGACAACTCATTCATCTACAGTCGAATGAGAGCGCTCAAGTGAAGACATGGTGGAGAACCCCGACAGCTAGTTCCAGGCTGTGGAAGTCAAGGTGGTTTTGAGCTATGAGGACAACATCATCCATTTTTGCTTCGCCGCCGGAATTGCTCGCACATTCGCAGTCGAGTGCCTTGTCTGTTCGTCATCTCTACATAAGAGTGACAGGCAAGTGACTCTTATTTTGCATCGACAACAAGACTGGCCAGCGAACAATTGAGATAATGTATCTGAGGACCCTTTCTCTACGAGTGCGAGTATGCAAATTGAATAGAAACAAAAATTCATCTCGGCTATCGGTACAAGTACAGAGCATGGTATCAACGGGGCCGAAGCCCCAAACAGAGCAGAACAGAACAGAACCCGGGGGAAAGAAGAAAAGAGGGCAAGAAACGAAACGAAAAACGAAAAGAAAACGCAATTGACCGGGCAACAACGAATAGGCAAGGCACGCAACGCTCTGAACGAAAATGATATTACAGGGAACGTATCATCCCCCATCCCCCATCCCCTCGTCAGTTCATCAGATTCTAGATCTCAGTCTCGTGTCTGAGGATTAGTAGCGACGAGGGGGAGGGGGAGGGGGGTGCGAACCCGGTTGGGGAGGAGGGAAGTACAGGGAGGGTGGCGGGGCAGGGTGTCCTGATGGGGGTGGGAGGTAACCACTTGGCAAGGGGAGGCGCGCGAAGTTCGAGCCTGGGGGTGGAGGCAGCTGTGGCGGGCCGGTCATTGCGAAGGGGTCTGGGAGACCCAAGCCCAGCTGGCCACGGGCTGGGAGGAGACGGCGTGGTTGCTGGGTTGGAGTTGGGCGGGGGAGGATGAATGAGCGGGGGTCTGTTGGTCCATGTGCTGGTCCTGGACCTGGGTGCCCGTGGCCGTGGTGGGCATGGGTGTGAGAGAGGTGGTGAGGTGGAGGATAGGGGGTGCGGTGAGGAGGGAGTGATGTTTGCATCTGAGGGAGATGCGTTGGGGGAGGCTCTAAGAGGGCTGCGTCGGCTAGAAGGGAGAGAGAGCGTGGGTGGGGGTCCACGGGGTAGTCGGAGGCACCGTCGTAGGTGAGCTGTCTGCCAGATGTTTCTGAGGAGCTGACAACATTTGCTGCTTCGAGGAGACTGTCGAAAGCGAGGCCGGGGTAGATGACTCCTTCCATGTCCGCTGGCTCCGGTGGCTGAATTTCCTCGTTGATTTTGCCCATGCGTGCTTTTTGATCGAAGTCATCCCAGCCTTCGTCAGCTTGCGTGTAGTCGAGAGCCCCTTCGGGTTCCCGGACTGCCTCGGCGAGGAACCCACGCTCTACTTGGCGGATGGCTGTGTCGCCGATTCTGAAGAGGAATTGCTTTTCAGCGTGTTCCGAATCAGATGTATCGGTCTGGGTTGTTAGCCTGGTTCGCTTCTGGTGAACGTGGGAACTCACCTCCGTATGTTCATCATCCTCTGCTGCTCTGCGGCCAATGATCGCCGACATGAACTTGCCCATGAGAAGAGTGACCATCTCATCTTGAATCTCCTTGAGAACATTCTGTATCCAGTGAGAGATATTCCGTGCGAGACATGAATATAACTTACATTGGCATGATCCCTGTGGTTGTAAAGATCTACGTCGCGCTTTTCTTTGATTAATTCCATTCTCCACTTGTGATCAGCGGTCAACCGATCAATCGCCTTGCGTTGGTACTCGGCCAGATCCTGCTGGACTTGAGCAAACTCAGGGCAATCCTTGTGGGCATTCTTTTCGCGGGCAAGTTTGTGCATGGACTGTTCAGACATGAAACCCAGCGCAATCTGTTGCGCCTGGCCAATCTTTTTAAACAGAGTCGTCATTTCGTCTTGGCGATTTTTGGTTGGTAGTGTGTCAGGTGTAGGTGATGGAGTGCGACCACGCCAGTTCTCGGCATCCCAGATCTCATCTTCGATCTTCTTGCCACGTTTGATAATGGTGGTCTGGCGAGCACGACCACGTCCTCGGCCGCCACGAGGCTTGGGAACTGTAGAGCGAATTGGACCGACAAATCCTCCACGGCTGCCGCGGCCACGGCCACGGCCACGTCCCCGACCTCGACCGCCGCGGGATCCTCGACCTCCACGGCCTCGAACAGTGGGAGCAAAAGCCGGGGGATCAAATTCATCAGAGGGAACAGGAACATCCTCAGGTGTTGTTTCAGCCTGAGTTTCCATTTCATTTCCATTTTGCATGGGGCTTTCGGCAGCCTCTTCAGTTTCGGTTTCATCAGTTCGCAACTTTTTGCTAGGGAGTTCTTCGGAACCAACTTCCGGGGTTTCATCTTGCATGTCCAGTGACTTGCGCTTGCGAGAAAGTCGAGGGGACACAGTTCCGAATGGAGCTTCTTCAAATTCGGCCATTTTGGGACTTTCAGTGACAGCTGGGTCGTCCTTGGCTTTGGTAGGCTCAATATCATTGAATTGATCGTCGGTCATCTCATCAGCTGCGCTGTGAGTAGCTCCAGGCGAGGCTGGGGCAGAAGCAATAATGCGAGGCTGAGGAGATTGAGAAGTTTTGCGAATGGCAGGTTCTGACTTGAAATCTTCATCGTAATTTGAGTCCGTGTCATCATCTGGCTGGCTGGCATCAGTTTCCATAGATTTGGTGGGCGACACTTCTTCATAAGTGCCATCGGCATTAGGCTTGAGTCTGGCGGACTGACGGGTAGTTCGCGAAGACTCGGGGACAGCCATGGCACGACGAGAACGTCGGATGCGAGGAGTCTCCGGATTGCGGGAGACAGCGCTGGTTGGAGCGCTTTCATCATCATCATCATCATCAAAAGCATCTTCTGAGATAGCACGTTGGATCAAAGAAGGTATTTTCAGCTTGACAATGTGCGAGCGCACTGGGCTGCTCGGAGTTTCAATGCTGGAAGGCAGACGACCAGGAAGACTTGCCCGACCACGGCCGCGACCACGTCCTCGCCCGCGACCTCTTCCGCGGGTGGGCGTGGGAGGGATGACATCTACAAGGATCAGCATTGGACGGAGTCGACGGAATTGCAAACTTACCTTGAGCAGTGCGCCCCGAGCGCGTCGAGATACTGGGAGTACGAACAAGCTGAGCAGCCGCTCCCCTTTTCTTTCTTCCCACCATCGCTGTTGTTGGAAAGTTGTCAGTCGGGGAAATCCAGTAGCAGCAAGGGGGTGTGGTGATCCCAAAGACACAGGTATTACGAAATCATGGGAAAAGAGAGGCAAAAGGGAGAAGTATGAAGCAAAGAAGAACAGAAAAGGGAAAATAGAATCGCGTGGGGGAGAGAGAACGTCAAGTACAGATGAAGATGGGGAAAAAGGAAAAAAAGGACGCGATCATCAAAAACGTAGATCAGTGCACTGCACTGGTGCACTGGGGAGACAGGGTTTTTGAGGCGCGCGCCAGCAAAGACATACGAGGATGAGCCAAATCGGTGGAGACAGGAAGGGATTGCAGCAAGTCGGAGCCTCAAGAAAAACGCGATCACTTACCGATGGGGAATGGAAATGTCTACAGGAAGATGTAGCGAAGAACAGCAGAACAGTAGAACAGCAGAATGGTAGAATGGCAGAATGCAGAACAGAAATACTAGAATGAAAGGTAACGAGAAGAGAAAAGCGAAGAGATGAAGAAAAGAAGAGAAGAAGAGAAGAAAGTAGAGAGATGGGAGAGATGGAACGGTGTAGAGAGAGATTGAAGAAGATGAGGAGAGAAACCTTGGAAAGGTCTGATTAGCTGAGATCGGCCAACGTCTATACCAACTCAACAGACAATACAGATGCAGAGTCTGAATAGAACTGTTAAATTGTTTGAATGAGAGATGATCTTATTGTCTCATTTCTTCTGCCAAGGTCCATTGGCCCCATTTCGACCAGCTATGTCCCACGGGTAGTAATAATGTGCCTATACCATTACCCATTGAGCACTATACACTATACAATATACACAGCACTAGAATAAGAACATTCTCCTATTGAGCTGCCTCTATCCTCTATAATCTACACCTTGATCAAGTTACACGGACCTGTCTCGAGGCCTACGTGTACAGTAACTTCGATCCCAGCCACACATTCTTCCCTATGCCGATAGTCATATAACTTATTTAGTACTATACTATATTGTGCGAATCTGTTTTAATATACTATCACTTACCTTTCTACTCTCTACTCTCTCCTCCTGTACTCGAAAAAAATAGTGTCCACCGCCAGTCGACCCACCGGATATCCAGGGAGATGATTTACGGCGACTACGATTGGCTACTCGATGTTGTATGATGGAATCCTGCTTGAAAGGGGGATAGCCAATCTACCATTTCACCTGTATGGAGTACTACTCCGTATATTCTTTTCTTTTACCTTTGGGTTTCTTCGCTTTTGTGATCGCACTCTATGTGTCTGCATTAGGAAACTCGGGAGATTCGGCACTTTTGTCCATAGTGGGCCTCATACAAAACCGGAATTTCATTTGGAGATAACAATGTAAGTTATGTCCTGTCCAAATTACTATGTTCATTTGTACATTATTCCTTCATATACACACAGAACTAAACACGACCAAAACACAAACCACGCACAAAATACGCACCAAAAAAAACATACAAGTCGTTCAGTTGGAGTCAAGTCAAGTAAATCAAATCAATCCACCCAGATTAACCCATTCACTTTTCGTAAGGGGATTCGTTCAGTTCATATTTCTCGGATTGAGTAGTGGTAAAGCTCCCTCGAGCCGGGTCCTTCCTCACCCGCGGCAACTCGTCCAATTCGACATCCGGCATAGGTGAAGGGGCACGCATACTCTGCTCGCGTAAAGACCGAGCCGAGCGCATGCGCGTAATCGTCCCCTTGGTGAGGGTCTGACCGGCAGATGGGGAGGCTTTGAGCATTGTGCCTGGGGCGGTTGTGGGCGAAGGGCATGGGCTGGTGGAGCGGAAGAGAGGGTGGATGTTTGTATCTTGGAATGGGTTGTATTCCCAGGTAGAATGGCTCGAGGTCGAGGCTGGTGTTAAAGTCGGGGTGCTGAAAGTTGATAGGGTTGGTGAGTCGAGGTGGAGAGTCGAGGCTGTTGGGGTGCGTTGGACTAGGCTGTCTAACGAGAGATGGGTTGGTGGGTTGCGGCGGAGGCTGGGCATGCTGCGGATGCTGTTGCTGCCTCGGAGAGGGAGGGAGTGATTGGGTTCAAATGGTGCTTTGTCTGTTGTTGGAGAGTGGGTTGGGGTGGATCTTGTTGATGAACTGTCGATTGACGCACGCTTGGCTTCTTTAGTGCTTTGGCAGAGTGTTGCGTCTGAGAAGCGATTGGAGCGACGGGGAAATTTGCGCAGGGAGGAACGCTTTGGCTCGAATAGTTCTGACAGATCACATACACGTGGTGGTGATGGAAGAAGTTGAGGGCTCTGAGGGATAGACTTGAGTTCCTCGGGGTATGAACGGGGCCACTCGGGGTTCTGTCTTTCTTGGAACAGAGGCATAGCAATAAATCCACAGTATAGACCTTGGGCGAAGACTGCAAAGGCCCAGAATACAGCACGGGTGACGAACACGGAGGCTTGGGGACTCGATGTCATTGCTCCAGCAGAAATTGCGGAGGCAATAAGTAGATATCCGCCGGTGATGCAGGTCCATTGTAGACGGCCCTGGATGTCTTTGTGGTGGAGCACACTGAGCATTACCAAAGCCAGGCAGCTGGTTGCACTCAGGATGAGTGGGGCCAGGTCGGACGAGGCGTTTGAAGTTGCATAAGAAATACCATTGGGGACTGTAACAATGAATGTTGAGAGTAATGAGGCCCCCGCCAGTGTATAAGGTAGAAAAGTAGACATGGTGGAATGAATGTATAGACTGTAAAGAATGTGGAGTGTCAACGTTGGCAGAATGCCAAAACGTTCACCAAAGCACAATGAGTGTAAGGAGTATGCACTTCACCTCAAGGGGGGATGTCAGTCTGATATATGTTTACATCCACACGCAAAGTTCGCACACGGGACGGGACGCATCTCAGCGTGGCTTTAAAGTATATCGGGGAAGCAGTCCGTCTGAACATATCACTTCTGCTAGGATCTGATATATCAACCCGGCATGGTGGTTAGAGTCTGCAAATAAGACTCGATCGAAAATCAAATCAATTGGGTGCGGAAGAGATTTGCGGTCTTTGCATGATGTTCCTGGGTAGTGGAAAATGACCTGTAGTCAATGGAAGTATATAGGCTGAGACTCCGGGGTATTTGGGAGGCCTGGACCCTGAATATTCAAATTCAATAGTGCAGACTATCTCGCAAGCGACGCTATTCATCTGATCCATCAGACTGTGGATCATCCCGATGTTCTGGTGAGGGCGGATCCTCGATCTCAATAGTGCGTCCCAAATGTGATATATCGCACCGCTCTCGCGAGTAAAAACCTCCGCTCCTCTGATCCTCGGCTAGGCTAACATCATTTTATTCGAGCTTTCAAGCGAGTTTATAGATCGAGATGCTCAGATATCTCCATAATCGACAGACGGGAAATCCTAGTCTGTCTTGCAGGAAGTCGTATCCAGGTTCGCGGATCTGCAACCTATTCCGAGTCCGGGGAAACCCACTGTGATAATTTGTCACTTCAATTTATTCATTTCTCAAATGTAATAAATATTCTTGTCCACTTCTGCGCAGGTGTGGGTACATTGGCATGTCCGTGCTAATGTATGTATTTCGAAAGCAATGGCGGTTCCTATAGGTATGTACCTCGGTCAGCCTAGAAGAAAGGGTTATCTGCTTTGGAAAATCGATCCAGTTTGATCAGGACATAAATTGACATCTTCAACCTATCAATTGGCTCTGATTCGCGCTTGTCTTGAATGTTGTTCAGGCTGCCCATGCTGCCAACAGGCAACCCAGTTGAGATCGAATCGCCATGTACCTCACCCTGCAGGGGTATTCCATGTATAATGCACGGCCTGAGCTCGGGTGCCTCTGGACACAAACACAAACAATATCATTGCCTAGGTAGAATAAAAAGGTTGAAGGTAGGTACGTAGGTGGGAGGTATACTGTGAAGGCGGTCAGATGTTCTACCCGCACTTTGCATCATCGTCACTCTGGTCCCCTCACTCATTTCTTTCTTCGACTTCATCGCTTGGAAGATCCACAAATCTCGATTTTCTCTCTCTCCCATCTTGGATCTGTGATCTTACCCCCCGCTCTTTTCTATCCTCTTCCTCTGCGGCGGCAAAAATGAAGCTCACCTTCAAGGTACGTGCCCTGGGTTCCCCACCTGACCACCGCTGACAATCTCGACAGGACCTGAAGCAGGAGAAGTTCGTCATCGATGTCGAACCTTCTGAGACTGTATGTCATCTTTCCAACAGGCTTATCGGTATGGGGCTGATTTATCCGTCTAGGTTCGCGAGGTCAAGGCCAAGATCGCCCAGGAGAAAGGCGAATATGAGGCTGAGCGTATGAAGGTCATCTACTCTGGTACGTGCGTGCTTTCCAAATCGATTCAGCAGTGACTAACTATTCTTATCCCTGTAGGAAAGATCCTTCAAGATGATAAGACGGTCGAATCCTACAACATCCAAGAAAAGGATTTCCTAGTTTGCTTGCCTTCGAAGGTATGAAATCGGCATTTTCTTTGCTTCACTGGCTCAAACTGACAATATCATCATAGCCCAAGGCCGCCCCTGCTTCCTCCCAGCCTAAACCCCCCTCGACTCCCGCTGCCCGAGCTCCTGCGTCGACCCCCGCTGCTCCTCCCGCTCCTCAGGCTTCCTCTACCGCTGCCCCAGCTGTTCCCGCTACCCCTACTCCGGCCGGTGCGACACAGACCAGTGGACCTGCCTTTGGAGATCCCTCTGCTCTCGCCATGGGTTCTGCCGCCGAGGGCGCAGTTGCTCAGATGGAGGCTATGGGTTTCGCACGAAGCGATATCGACCGTGCCATGCGCGCTGCATTCTTCAACCCTGACCGTGCCATTGAATACCTTTTGACTGTGAGATTTCCGTTCGAGGTTATACAATTTCCCCGCTAATCATGCCACAGGGTATCCCCGATAACATCCAGGAACAGCAGCAGCAACAACAGCAAGAAGCCGCAGCACCGGCTCCTACTGCTGATGCCCCTGCTCCTTCCGGCGGCGAAGAGCCTC